GGACAGCAAGTACAAAGGCCACACAGTAGGACATAACCACTGGTGGCACTGGGACCCAAACATGGTGCTGCCTGACTCCCAAGTATGTCATCTTCCCACTGTCTGCTGAGCTGCTGTGTGCCTGTAACCCAGCAGAGCTGGGTCTTTTCACTGCCCAGTGTCAGATAAGAAACAAAGGTCGACTTACGAGTAGAGACTTTAGTGGAAGGGGACTCCTGCAAGGACAGGGAGGTACTACTCAACGGGGACAACACTCTGACTGCGAGGTCTGCGTGTGCCTCAGGGGTTAGACAAAAAGGAAAATTTCTTTTATGGGCAGGAGTGAAAAGCTTAGGAAGAACAGGGTGAGAAGCGGAGGGATGGGTGGCTGGACAGGGCAGAAATGCAGGTTTTAGCCTGAGATGATCCTATTCCCCTCTGGGAGGGCTGTGGGCTGGTGCCCCGAGGAGAGGCCAAGGTTCAGGGGCTGGGGGAAGGAAAAAATTAACGGAAGTTTCACTAACAAGCACTTCCTTCCTACTGATCAGTGGTGACAAGCAGTTCCAAATGGGAATTTGGAGGGTCTGGGACAGTCCTCGTCATAGGTGAAGGGGGGCACCTGTGAGTCTCGTCTAAATCCGAGGTCAACAGTTTCCAGAAACACAGAAAGAGTGGAGGGGTGCTTCTTAACCAACACCCCTTTTCAGGAGCACCGGGCCAAGGTACTGTTCAACACTGCCAGTTCTCTCTTTTTGTTCAAGAGGAAAGTCCCTCAGAGACCGTCTATGCAGCAGTCAAAGCCCGTTTCAGCCCAGTGAGGAAGCCAAGGGCAGAACTCTCCATGGAAACCTTGAAAAATCATTTAGATTTCACTGAATTCGGGTTGCCAGGTAAAACACAGCACAACCAGTTATATTTTGAATTTCAGATAATTTTTTTTCTTTTAGTATAGGCACGTCCCATGTAATATTTAGGAATTATAAGAATTATTCATTGTTTATCTGAAATTCAAATTTAACTGTGCCTTGTCCTTTTATTTGCTAAATCTGACAACCCCACACTGAATGCATGTCTCAATGTCATCCTAAAAAACCCACTTTTTAGCCTTCTCTCTCCTAAAATGCCTCTCATCACAGTAGCTGCACCCCACCCCACCTCTCTTCAAAACCTACAGTCCCCAGCCCCCTCCCTGTTCTCTGAACTCCTGGGACCCTCCTTCCCAGCTCTTTCCTACATAAAATCTGGCAGAGGAGGAGCTTCCTTTCTAGGGGAAAATTTAAAAGATGGTAATCCAGTGCTTCAGTGAACGCCCCGTGCCCTTTGATAAGCATTACACATGCTCTATCTTACTTAGTTGTCACAGTGACTGCAGGAGGTAGATGGGGAGCCCGTTTCACAAGAAGAAAATGGAAACTCAGATTCAGTAACTTAAAGTTTCCTACTCCATTCTGTGGCAAAACCAATAAATGAACTTTGAATGGAGTATTTCTGAGTCTATCATAATTTGTTAGAATTACAACATATATAGATTGGTCTTGTCCACAAAACTCCTCCTAAGGGTGATCACATAGTGACACAAAATCTTTGCAAAGTCCCTCCACTGTTCCTGGCAAAGTAGCTCCTTGCATAGGCTCAGTAACAATTGTCCTCCTTCCTGCCAGGATATAATTAGATACATCTAATCTAAAATCTTGTTTACGCCGGAAGTGTCACACTGGGGATGAGACACCAAGGAGTCCCAGCCTTACAGGTAGTTACGTCACTTCCTGCAGGACAGGCAAGGTTTGGGAATTCCAAGAAGGGCAGCCCAAACAGCCAGGCACCATAGGAAAAACCTGGTGGGACGAGTTAAATGGTGTTTGGCTCATGGTTTCAGATAACACGGGTGATGAAAGGCAGTTAGAAAAAGAGAAAAACGGGGGCTGGCCAGTCAGAGCATGGTGGTTATAACACCAAGGTTAAGGGTGCGGATCCCTGTACCAACCAGCCACCCCCCCCAAAAAAAAAAAAGAGAGAGAGAGAGAAAGATTCCGGGATAATACTGTTTTTCTGGAGTCTTTTTAAACTCTCCAGACAGAAGTTAACTCTTTTTTTTTTTTTTTTTTTGGCAGTGGGCTGGTATGGGGCAAACCCTTGACTTATGGTGTTGTAACACCGCACTCGCAGCAGCTGAGCTAACAGGCCAGCCCTGGAAGTTAACTCTTTGGCTTTAGAAATCATCTCGTGTATCCAAGGGCAAATACAAACTAGAAATTAGAGGTTTAATTCTTCCTGTTGAAAACAAGGAAGAGACCCTCCACCCCATTCCCTTTTCTTTCAAAATTTCTCTCTGCCCTTTCCAAAGGTGTGTGAATCTTTTAAGTGGCTAAATAAGTCTCTTGCCAGTCTCACAACTTAGGAATGTGTCTTCAGGGACCTGAGAGCCATCTCTTTGAACTGTACTCATCAAGGAAGATGACTGCTGTTTCCTGGGAGGAGACGGGTCCCACTGCACCTGTCATGACTCCAAATGGCAAAACCCACTGAAGGCACTGGACAGGCTGCACCCACTTAGCTATAGAAAGAGGGAGCCTTCCTTCCACCTCTGCCGTCCCTTTAGTGGGCTGCCTGTGAAGCTCACAACCTTCTGGTTTTATGTTTATTCAATAATAAGATAGTTTTCTTTTCTACCTTTGTAGAGGGGTTTTATGGGTTGGAAGGTTTTGTTTTCAATTTTATTTACCCAATATGTGACTCCAGTTTTATGAAGCAAACAGCAAGGAGATGTCTGGACGTTAACCATTGCCTCTTGCCGCAGCTATGTAAATAAGAGGCCTCAGAGAATCCACCATGTGTAAGATAGAAGCCCAGGTGAATGGACTGTAAGAAATCATGAGAATGAAGGGACTGTGCTGGCAAATTCTTCCTAATACAGGAAACGGGTGTAAAGGAGTAACACCAATGTGTATATAAATACCACTAGAAGTCAGGATTGTGCATGTAAGCAAGCCCACACCTGAGTAAGTCCTACCATCTGTGAGAAATGATAAAGCCCTCCCTCACTCAAGGTGTGGTCCCCAGACCAGCAGCATCAGCATGGACTGGGACCTTGAGAGAAATGCAGAATCTCAGGCCCCACCCCACACCTGCTGAACCAGAAGCTGCATTCTGACAAGATTTCCAGGGGATCCCTTTGCACATTGATTGGGAAGCACTGAACTAGGTAAGAAATTCATTTATGCTCTTAGACCAAAAATGCAACAAGATGGGTCTGCACTGAATAAGAGATTTTAACCAAGACAGTTATTATGACTGATTAGAGAGACTATAAAATAAAAGATTGGTCTCAACCAGGCTTGAGACAGAGCCCTTTTTACCTGGTATAATTCATAACTTCCTTCTGGGAAGTGACTGGCAAGATTTGTAAGTTTTCTGGGAAACCAGTTACCCACCCACCCAGCTGACTGTCAGGACCTTTAGCCAGTGATTCTTTTCGTATCTAGCCTAACAATAATAATCTGGCCTTTATATTTTCCTATAAAATAGCTCTACCTAAAAATGAAGAACTTCTCAATTGGCCTTCTAGGGTCCTGCCCGTTGCACACAAGATTGTAGCCAAACTTTAACACACAACTAGTCTGAAAAGTCTTCTTTCACTCATCTACGAAAAAATTGAAATGAACAGATTACTGAGTGTGACTGAGGTTGTGTAAAGAGGTGAGGCCACTGGGAAATGTGGGAAAGACCAGCAAGAGATTCAAAGAAAGCCCAGCCAAGGAAAGCAAGACAAGGAAGGGAAAATAATGAGGGAAGCAAAAGGAAATGCAAACAGAGTGCATACCCAGTGCCAGGCGGTGGTAACTTCCGCACATGCGTGATGACGCAGACCGAGTGAAGTCCAGAGCACGGCTGTACTGGGAGATGGGGAGGGAAGCGGTGGGGTAGTCAGGGAGAGCTCGGTCCAAACCTGCCGGAGAGGAAGTCAACAGGCCAGATCCAAGATGAGTCAAAAAGAGCAGTGCATGCATTTATGAATTCACATAAACACGGAGACAGCGAACTTGGAAGAAAGCGTTAAAAAGGAATGGAAAATGATCACCTCTGGGAGGCCTAGAGCAGTTAGAAGCCGTTTAGTCCAACGAACTTTTAAACTACTGCATGTATCACTTTAGGAAAAAACTTAAAAAGAAATGCCAAGTCAGAGAAAGTGAAGCCTTTATTTCATTTTGACATTTAAGTATCTCCGTTTTATATTCCCCATTAACTTTCAAAGGGGTGAAGTATTTTGGAACAAAGACGGTACCTCAGTGAAGGGGACTGAGATGTGCCTTGGATTTATGGGGGGCTTCACCCATAACTCACCCGGATATAAGACGACAACCAACAAAAGTTTTCAGATAGACTCATGCCAGAAGTTTGACTTTAGGAAATCTCAATGGGGACAGCCCTGCACAGNCATGACTCCAAATGGCAAAACCCACTGAAGGCACCGGACAGGCTGCACCCACTTAGCTATACAAAGATGGAGCCTTCCTTCCGCCTCTGCCGTTCCTTTAGTGGGCTGCCTGTGATGCTCACAACCTTCTGGTTTAATGTTTATTCAAAAATAAGATTGTTTTCTTTTCTACCTTTGTAGAGGGGTTTTATGGGTTGGAAGGTTTTGTTTTCAATTTTATTTACCCAATATGTGACTCGTTTTATGAGGCAAACAGCAAGGAGATTTCTGGAAGTTAACCATTGCCTCTTGCTGCAGCTATGTAAATAAGAGGCCTCAGAGAATCCACCATGTGTAACATAGAAGCCCAGGTGAAGGAATCCACCATGTGTAACATAGAAGCCCAGGTGAATAGACTATAAGAAATCATGACAATGAAGGGACTGTGCTGGGAAATTCTTCCTAATACAGGAAACGGGTGTAACACCCCGTTTGAGTAACACCAATGTGTATATAAATACTACTAGAAGTCAGGATTGTGCATGTAAGCAAGCCCACACCTGAGTAAGTCCCACCACCTGTGAGAAATGATAAAGCCCTCCCTCACTCAAGGTGTGGTCCCCAGACCAGCAGCATCAGCATGGCCTGGGACCTTGAGAGAAATGCAGAATCTCAGGCCCCACCCCACACCTGCTGAACCAGAAGCTGTATTCTGACAAGATTTCCAGGGGATCCCTTTGCACATTGATTGGGAAGCACTGAACTAGGTAACAAATTCATTTATGCTCTTAGACTAAAAATGCAACAAGATGGGCCTGCACTGAATAAGAGATTTTAACCAAGACAGTTATCATGACTGATTAAATAGAGAGACTATAAAATAAAAGATTGGTCTCAACCAGGCTTGAGACAGAGCCCTTTTTACCTGCTATAATTCATAACTTCCTTCTGGGAAGTGATTGGCAAGATTTGTAAGTTTTCTGGGAAACCAATTACCCACCCACCCAGCTGACTGTCAGGACCTTTAGCCAGTGATTCTTTTCGTATCTAGCCTAACAATAATAATCTGACCTTTATATTTTCCTATAAAATAGCCCAACCTAAAAATGAAGAACTTCTGAATTGGCCTTCTAGGGTCCTGCCCCTTGCACACAAGATTGTAGCCAAACTTTCACACACAACTAGTCTGAAAAGTCTTCTTTCACTCATCTACGAAAAAATTGAAATGAACAGATTACTGAGTGTGACTGACGTTGTGTAAAGAGGTGAGGCCACTGGGAAATGTGGGAAAGATCAGCAAGAGATTCAAAGAAAGGTCAGCCAAGAAAAGCAAGACAAGGAAGGGAAAATAATGAGGGAAGTAAAAGGAAACGCAAACAGAGTGCATACCCAGTGCCAGGCGGTGGTAACTTCCGCACATGCGTGATGACGCAGACCGAGTGAAGTCCAGAGCACGGCTGTACTGGGAGATGGGAAGGGAAGCAGTGGGGTAGTCAGGGAGAGCTCGGTCCAAACCTGCCGGAGAGGAAGTCAACAGGCCAGGTCCAAGATGAGTCAAAAAGAGCAGTGCATGCATTTATGAATTCACATAAACACGGAGACAGTGAACTTGGAAGAAAGCGTTAAAGGAATGGAAAATGATCACCTCTGGGAGGCCTAGAGCAGTTAGAAGCCGTTTAGTTCAATGAACTTTTAAACTAGTGCATGTATTACTTTAGGAAAAAACTTAAAAAGAAACGCCAAGTCAGAGAAAGTGAAGCCTTTATTTCATTTTGGTGGGAGATGGGGAGGGAAGCGGTGTGGTAGTCAGGGAGAGCTCGGTCCAAACCTGCCAGAGAGGAAGTCAACAGGCCAGGTCCAAGATGAGTCAAAAAGAGCAGTGCATGCATTTATGAATTCACATAAACATGGAGACAGTGAACTTGGAAGAAAGCGTTTAAGGAATAGAAAACGATCACCTCTGCGAGGCCTAGAGCAGTTAGAAGCCGTTTAGTTCAATGAACTTTTAAACTACTGCATGTATTACTTTAGGAAAAAACTTAAAAAGAAATGCCAAGTCAGAGAAAGTGAAGCCTTTATTTCATTTTGACATCTAAGTATCTCCGTTTTATATTCCCCATTAACTTTCAAAGGGGTGAAGTATTTTGGAACAAAGACGGTACATCAGTGAAGGGGACTGAGATGTGCCTTGGATTTATGGGGGGCTTCACCCATTAACTAACCCAGATATAAAATGGAGGATTTATGGGGGCTTCACCCATAACTCACCCAGATATAAGATGACAACCGACAAAAGTTTTCAGATAGACTCATGCCAGAAGTTTGACTTTAGGAAATCTCAATGGGGACAGCCCTGCACAGAAGGTGGGATATGGCTCACAGAGCTGCTGGGGGACACCAACACTAGAAACCCAAGTCTTGGTTTTGTTAACAAGGGATTTGTTGTTGAAAGAAAGTAGTCTCATTTTCATTCAATAATCTAAACGTCCTGCTGATTGTGACTGCAGTTCTAACAATTCTAATGTCACACACATGACCATTATATAATTCTCACAGCTGACAGTCTGGGGACATGTGACCTTCCAGTGACTTACATGGATCTATTTTCATTACATTTGCAATAAAAGAACTAGTTTGCTGCTACAGCTATGTAACTGAGCTGAAGAAAAATCAGAACAGATCATTGTTTTAAATGCTTTATGTGTAAACATGTAAAACCCAAATGGGCTTCTTACTTGTAAAGATTATAGGACAATATACTTTTAGTAGTCTTCTTGATAACAATTTAAAAAACACTCTTTGTTGAAAAATCAAATAACTACAGGGTTCCCTCCCTCAAGGAGGCAGTGCAGAGGTGGACACAGGCAAGAAAACAATTATAAGACAGCAGGATGGATTCCCCGATGGAGATGTGCACCCTGAGACAGGCGGTCTCTGGCCTCAGCAACACCTACTTCACCAAGTCTGAATGTTTAATACTGCTGACACCACGATATACTCTCCAAAATCTAAAGTCTCCCTTCCACCCAGAACATGATGCGGAAGGTGCTCTGGGGATTATGCGCCATAAGGACCTTCTTTCTCTCCGCCCCTTGTCCTTCCAAGTCTACAAGCACCGCTAGAGGTAAGGGCTAGTCACCTCCCACACAAAGCCGACACTGGGACTTCCTTACCATGTCACTCCAGGCTGCCCACTGTACGCCACTACCTGTGACCTTCCTCAGAAACCCGCCAATAACAAAGCCATAATAATCCTGAACTCTGACATTCAAAACCCCCTGCAAACCAACACAAACCTGCACATTCCTACTTGATCTTCCTTACCTTCCCTCTACCATGTATTTCCCTTGCATGGGCCCCACTTGTGAGCTCCCCATGTCCCCAGGCAATTTCATGCTTCCTGCCTTTGGTGACATGTTTCATCAGCTGGAAGCAGCCATTACTTCCCCACAGGGTCAAATCTGCTAAGGGGCCCCACTGAAAATGCTCCTTCCTGTTGTTCCGTGGCACTTACCGAAATCTACCTCACTAGATTCTAAGCTTCTCAACACCAGGGACCATGCTTTTTTTTTTACATACTGCAGTGGACTGAATGCCCCCGCCCCCCAAAGTCATTGACTGTAACTGCTTAGGGTAGGAAATCCTATTATGGTAATTAAAAGGTGGGGCCTGGAGGAGGTGATTAGATTCTGAGGATCATGCCCTAGTAAATGGATTAATTATGGTGGTCAGTGGTGTGGTTCTGAGAGCTTTAAAATTAGAGCATGTGAGAGTCTCTCTCTCTGCTCCCCCATTCTGCCATGTTAGACCTCTGTGTCACTGTCACCACCAACAGGGCTTTCACCAGATATGTTCCCTAAACTTTGGACTTCCCAGCCTTCAAAACGGTAAGCAATAAATACTGTTTCTTTACGGATTACCCAGTTTGGGGCATTTTGTAATAAGCAAGAGAAACAGACTAATACCCATACCCTCTGAGTCTAATCATATAATACTTTCACCATTGCAGGTACTTAAATGTGCTGAAGGTGTCACTTCTCAATGTGTGTTGGCAACAAAACAAACAAAGACAAGAGAAGGAAGAACGCTGCATCATGAAGGAGCAGGCTAAATTACACCCAAGAAAATAAACATTAAAAGTTCCAGTTACTATGTTTAAATCAACATGAGGATTCTCCCCAGAGTGGAACCTGTCTCAGCATTTATCCAAGAAGGGAAGATGTGCAGGAGATGTAAAAGGCATCCGCGTGCCATGATTCCCATAAAGGCGTCACTGCTCCCTCCAATGCCTTCCAGACTTGCACTGTCCAACACGGCAGCCACTGTACACACATTGCTATTTACATTGAAGTTAAAATTAAAAATCCAGTCCCTTGGTTGCACCGGTCACGCTGCAAGTGCTCAGCAGCCACATGTAGCCTGTGGTTGCTCTGAACAGCACAGATATAGACCATTTCTGCCATCGCAGAAAGCTCTCTTGGACAGCACTGCTCTGTACACAGTGATCTTTTGAAATTAAAAGATTTTTGCACATGATCCTCTTGTTTAAAACTCATGCTGGTATCCCACTATTCTTGGGACAAAGACCAAAATTCTAACATGAACCACAAGGCCCTGTGTGGCGTGGCCCTTCCCCACCTTTTCGGCTGCATTCCATACCATTTTCGACCTTGCTTTCTGGGCCACAATGGCTTTCTTTCAGTTCTTTCAACAGCCACATTTGCTAGGCCACTGGGCCTTTTTATACATGCTGTCCCCTGGCCCTCCCAGCAAACTCCTACTCATTCTTCAGTCCAGCTTAAGGGTCCCGTTTCATGAAAGCCTTCCAGTCTCCACCAGGCTCCACGTGATATATATTCTTATAGGACTGTGCTTTCCTTTAGAGCATTCACTTCGGCCTGAATTATACTCTCTTAAGTGTGATCATTAAACCTTGTTTTCCCAACTGGGCTGTAGCTCCCTGGTAACGAGGGCAATGTCTGTTTTGTTCGTCTCTGTATCCCTAACACTTAGCATGGTACCTGGCCAAAGTATCAACAAATATTTACTTGATGAAACAAAGGACATCAACATTGTCCATGGAATTTTCAAAACTACCGGCTCTGTGATGCTAACTACAGTTAGTTTCTTCTTTCAGCGTTAAGTCCTGTTTGCAGTATCATACGTGATCATCAAACTACTTCTAGAATGCTCACACCTGTTACTGCAAGTTCACAACCCAGGAAAGACTTCCCCTGGGAGTTTACTTTAGGTCAGGGTCAGGCTGCCTGTTACAAGGCTGCACCCACACCAGGCAGGTTCAACAACACAGGAGCCTTTCCCCAGAACCTCTGCCTGAGAACACGCCATGCTTTACAAACCTGGGTCCCCCGAACTGAGATCACTCNAGAAGTCCCTAAAAGATGTGTAGAGGAAAGTGTGAGCTATTGACACAGCTCAGAGGAAAAGCTGAAGTCCCACACTCTCCTACAGGAAAGGCTCTACAGGCCCCGGCACCACCCCTGCTTGGGACGCCCTCCCCAGCAGTCCAGTGACTTACTCCTTCACCTTGGGATTTTGCTGAAGGTCACCTCCCTCACCACCATATCTAAAACTGCAAACCCTCCTTAGCTCAGTTGCTTTCTTTTTCTCCATAGCACTTATCTGTCATCCCACATATTCTACTGACTTATTATTTCCTGTCTCCTCTGTACTTGAATGCAAGTTCCCTGAAGGCAGGGAGCTTGATTCGCTCCCACTGTAGCCTAATGTAGTCAGCAGTGAGTGCTCAGTTAAACGTTTAATCTACCAAAGAGCTGTTAACCAGGTTTATAAACCAAAGAACACACAGTACTCTACTTAAAATTCCTTACCAAAGAAAATCTTCCTGAGGAAATGCCCACTGGTTGGCACTGGGAGTCAACTGGACAGAGAGAAGCATTAGAAGAGCTCTTATCCCAAGCGGGAGTACCCAGGCTTGGTTCAGTTGGTCCATGATGTAATAAACACTTCCCAGGAAGTGTACACAACCAGGACACACTGGCAGATTCTATGTGAAAGCCCCACTCTGCAAGTGAATCTTCTGCATAACTTTCTGGTAAAAGAAGGTCATGGCTAAATTACAAAAAAACAAAACCCAAACTTGGCACCAAGTTCCAAAAGAGAACATGGTCTGGTGTAGGATAACATCCTCTAGTGGACAGAGGNCACCTGTTACTGCAAGTTCACAACCCAGGAAAGACTTCCCTTGGGAGTTTACTTTAGGTCAGGGTCAGGCTGCCAGGTACAAGGCTGCACCCACACCACGCAGGTTCAACAACACAGGAGCCTTTCCCCAGACCCTCTGCCTGAGAACACGCCATGCTTTACAAACCTGGGTCCCCGAAACTGAGATCACTCGGAAAGCTCCCATCGACGAGGAACAGGAGGAAATCATCACCGCATCCCTTCGCCCAGTCGTCGGGGGCTGGTTCTATCTCATTTCCAGTGGAAACCCTGAGGAAAAAATATTACAACGTGCTCTAAAAGGACAAAAGTCATTCAATGCTTCGCACACTCCCCGGAAGCCGAGCTAACCCAGCGGGGACTCCCAGGCGCTTCGGCGGCCACAGCGCCTCCCACAACCCCTCCCTCCGATTTCGGTGACCGCATTCCCTTTATCTCCTCCCGTCCAAGCCCCGCTGCTACAAGGAGGGCAATACCTGAAGTCCAGGCCCCGCGGAGGGATCCGGTGTCTCCAGACCACAGCTGATCAGGGCCTCCCGGCCCCCTACGGAGCTTCGTAACCGCCCCGGAGCGGGGCCCGAAGCCAAGGGCTGGGCCGGTGGAAGCGGAGGCTGCGGCCAGGGCTGGTTCGCGTCGCCCTGCGGCCGGGAGTCGGCGACAAGGAGGAGGGGAGAGTAGGTTCCCTTCGGACGGGACACAACACGGATCTCAACTCGCTTCCCACCATCTTGGGCGGAAGCAGCCCGGACGTAATAACTTCGTATAGCGGCCGTCCTCGACTTTGAATGTGGGTCCTCCAAGGCGGTCTTAAAGGGACCGCAACCAGAGAGGTGGGATTAAAGGAGACGAGAGCCTTGGGCGGAGGGGAGGACCCTAGAGCGAGGGAAGCAGAAGGGACATCCCGTTTCTTGAAAGTCTTCTAGGTGCCTGGAGTCCTGAGTGCACTGTCCCATTACTCCTCAAGCAGCTCTGGTGCTCCAGAGAGGCTGAGTTACTTCCCGAGCGCAGCCAGGACGGGGCAGGGGCGGGTTTAAACCCCAGTCCTCCTGCTCCAAACCCAGTGCTCTTTTCACCACCATCCCAGGTAGAAGGGAGAGAAAGCTCCGAGGGGCTACTTGACGATGAAGGCTGACTTTGCCTATTGGGACATTGGCTGAAACTCCTCTCCTCCCCCCTAATTCGGGGATATGAACCCTTGACCTTGGTTTTACAACACCGCACTCTAACCACTGACCTAACCGGCCAGCTGCACTAGTCACCTTATTCCTCCAAGAGATGAGCACTTGGCAAATTCCCAAGAGTTCAACCCCACAACCAAGGAAGGATTTGCCGCGGCTGTGGGTATTACAGAACCTTGGAGGATATCAGACATCACCACCTTCCCTAGGGTTTGTGTGCAGTATGCATAAAGCAAATGTACTTCACAAGGCCTGGTTTTCCAAAGCTTTGCAGTTTCAAATATTGACCTTACAAAAAACAGGAAATTTTCCCCAGAGTATACACTCTCTGACGAAAGATAAGAATCGTAACACAGCAAGGCTGCCGGTTCAAAGACAGACAGGTTACTAATTGATAGTAAAGTCAAAGAGAGACAGGTTACTAATTGATAGAAAAGTCACTGAAAAGCTGCTGGAGGGAGAAGGAATGTTTGCTAAGATCAAGCATTTGTTAGTGGATCAACTTCATTGCATGTTACCAGCTTCTATTATTTTTTTTTTCCTTTTTGTCTTTTTTCGTGTCCGGCAACGGATTGCAACCCTCGGTGTCGCGCCCGCACCTCGCTCAGCCAGGGAGCGGGAACCGGTCTGTATGTGGGATCCGAACCCTCGGCGGGAGCGCCACTGCGCTCCCAAGCGGCGCACTGTAGCTGTGCGCCACCGGGCCGGCCCTCCAGCTTCTATTGTTAAAACTTATTAAACCGTGCTTAGCAAAACCCCACCAATGTCTCTTCCTGTAACTTCCTGGTCTGGAGAATAAATGCAGGAAGAGAACCCCAATTCGTGGTTAATTTCCCAAATGGAAGCAATGCCTCGCCGTTGAGGGCGATGGGAGATTAACCCCTTTTTGAGGCTTCTCACTGCTCAGAAGAGATGGGCTTTGAGCAATCTTTGGCAGCTCCGTCACCAAAGGGGAAAGGGGTGACAAATCCGTGGGAGGCAAAGCAACAGGTTTGGGTTTGTTTTACGCCGTTAGGCAGGGCAGTACTCTCTGGTTAGCCACAGGCCCTCTCCAGGTTTCTGGACGTGCGTCTGGGTTTCCAGCCACTCCTTGAGGTTTCAGGTCCTTCCTTTATGCCCTCCCCTAGAGATTTACTGTTGCCAGTTAGACCTATTTTCAGCACCAACATGGGGGAAATGAGACCACAAATGGCTGGCTCATGCAAATCCAGTGGCTGGGCATGCTCAGTGGAGAGGGGTTATGTAACCCTGGTAGCTGAATGACCTTCCACTACAGGAGCTAGAGAGCGCAGAATATTCTCAGATATGTCTGGTGATAGGATTTGACCCATGAACATGCTCCAAGAAGAGACCAGCTGAGCATGTGGTAGACTATGTCCTACAACTGGGAACCTTTTTTATTGAATATTCATTAGACAGTGAAACTATAAAAGCCAGATGACAGCAGAAGGCAGGGCTGGTGCTCACTGTCCGGGAGGGAGCCTGCACTCTGCCTGTGGAGTGCATGTTTGTTTCTCTTTGTATCAAACTTACCTTCAGGGCGCAGCTGCTCCTTCTCTTGAGCCAGCCTGCACTCAGTACTGAACTGTAACTTGTGTATTGCTTGCTTTTGTGTTAAACTTGGTGTGAGCCCTGCCCAGTCTCTGGAGCTATGCGACTCCCCCCACCCCTCAGATCTGTAACTCTTCTTTGTTACATTTAAGCTGTTGTAACTTTGTCCTGTGACTCCACTCTTGAAATCTTTCCTGTGGCAGAGCCAAAAACCCACCACAGGAAAGGCGGGAGGATGGGGTGGGTTGAGACTGACTACTGGGACCCCCCTAGACATCAGTAAGTGCTTTTTGAGTTGTGTGATCTCTCACGCCAGCACCACCCATGAGTGACCAACCAATACCTCCCTCTTTTCCCCATCTCCTGTGTGGGCCAAGTGTGATCATCTGTCCCTACTAAAAATTTAGCAAACACCCTGCCCTAGAAGTCTCCCTCTATGAAATTCAATGTCATCTAATTATTGTTTCCACGACTCTGTTATGCCTTTGAAAACAGGAGTTTGATAGTTTATCTGGCTTTTTCCTACTCATTGTGTTGAGCATCGGGCTGTTGCAACATCAATATCCTAATGAGAAGCTAAAGTCATGGCACATTTGTTTTTTAACAGCTTTTATTGAGATAAAATGTACATGGCATACAATTCACCCATTAAAAGTGTGTGATTTGATGGATTTCAGTACACTCAGCGTTTTGCAATCATCAAGCAATTGCAGAACACTTTCATTTCTCCCAAACTAAATCCCTCAGTCTTCATCCCCAATTATTCCATCCCCTCCAACCCCAGGCAACCATTAATCTACTTTATTTTGCTACAAATCTCCTCATTTGGGACATTTAATATAAAGGGTATCATACATTATGGGGCACTTTGTGACTGGCCTCTTTCACTCAGCATAATGTTTTCGAGGTTCATGCAAAGTTGTAGCACGCGTCAGTTCTCCAGTGCTTTGTATGACTGAATGTTTATTTACATGGATATCCCACATTTTGTTTGTTCACTCATCAGTTCATGGACACTTGGCTAGTTGTCCCTTTGGACTGTTGTGAATGATGCTGCAGTGACCATTTGTATTCAAGGTTTTGTGTGGATGCA